GCCGCCGGCTCCCCTCCCGTTCTCTCGCGCGGCGACCACACAGGACTGAGCCAACCGCCTCAGTGCGGCCCAACCCCAACTCCGGCGGCCCCGCCCCTGCCCGTGCCGGCCTCCCATTGGCCCGGCGTCGCCCCGGCGTCATGACGTCCTAGGCCAGGTTGAGGCGCGCCTCGCGCCCTTCTCCCATTGAACCCGGCGCTCCCGGCAGGTACCTGGACCCACGTGACTTTTTCCTTCCCGCATCCTTCTCGCGCCCCACCCAGCGCCCCCCTCCTTTCTCCCCGCCCCACGGTCCCACGACTGCACGGTTCTTCTGCTTCCTTCCGAGCCTTCTGCACCAATATCCAGACCCGCCTTTCCCCACTCTTAGCCTTTCTTAGATGTCAAATTAGCTCGAGCGCCACTGGGTACGTGGCACTTGCCTGCGGCAACTGTCATACCTAGCCGGGTTGCGCACTTTCTCACCGAGTCTCAGCGCTGCGCTCGATGCAGCGACCCACTGCAGAGAATGTTCTTACGGGGTCAGAATGCTATTACTGTTTTTAAAGCTCTGTAACGGATGGAAATTTTCAAGCCTTGTTTTAAGATATGGTATGCCTATAATTACGCCCATACCAAAAAAAATCGAACATTGTCCTTGTCCTGGAATGCCTTCTCGTTTTGGATGCACTTATTCTGTGCTGTACCTTACACTAGCCTCTTAACCTGTTTGGCTTTTGAAATTGTTGTTTAGGACTTTTGCAAGATGGAGGTTGGGGTGGGCAAGGCTAGAGGATAGGAAAAGATGGTTGGTTAGGCTAGAGAATATTTTTACATCTTAGAAAAAGGAGAGTTGAGCTACTTAGTTACCAGAAGTTGTACTAAGAGACCCAGCCCCTAGGAAAAATGAACAAATAGCGCTAATTAGTACTAAAGACTGGAACGAGAAATTAACATATCAAAACCATCTGTGGCGGGCCGGCCATGGCTCACTCGGTAGAGTGCGGTGCTGATAACACCAAGGCCCCGGGTTCGGATCCCATATAGGGATGGCCGGTTCGCTCACTGGCTGAGCGTGGTGCTGACAACACCAAGTCAAGGGTTAAGATCCCCTTACCGGTCATCTCTTAAAAAAAAAAAAAAAAAAACCATCTGTGGCAAAATGGGCAAACCTCTTTGAGTTCACTGAAGATCCCATGCTATGTGATGGATTAGTAAAGCCCTCATCCATGCTGTTCTTCCTGTCTGTAGTTCCCTTCCTCCATTCTGGCCTTGTAAACTGCTGCTTATACTTCTGAAACGTGTTCAGGCCTCACCTCTCAGAAGTTTCCCCCAGACACCTCCCCTTACAAAATTCATCACTTCTTCCTTCGTGCTGTAGCTTGAGCTTGCTTCGGTTATTGTGTAAGTGCCCAGGATGCCTCCTACACAGTTTTGGGTGCAGCTCTTGTGCGTCCCAGTTCGTCCCTGGAATGTGAAAGTTTGAGCCCTCACAAGCCAGTAATACCAGAAAACCCAGAAGCCCAGACCCCTTCAACTACTTCCCCTTTATGCATACAGGATTTGCTGTGCTTAAGAGGGACCTGATAGGGAGGCTTAGGGCCAAAGGGGTGGGGAGGTGAGGGGGTGACCCTAAAGGGGTGGCTTGGTCTAGGGACAGAAGCAGAAGGGTTAATGTGGCAAAACTGGCCATGAGTCCCTGATTCCTGGAAGGTGCTTGGCTTATTTTCCGGGGCGATGTGCCCACACTCCAGGACTCTCTCACATGAGGTGCTCCTGGCTAAATTCCAGTCACCTGAGTCTATAAGGCAGGAAGGACTTCCCTGTTACAGCTTCAGGATGCTGAGGCTCTGGCTGCTGAGTGTGCAGTGGCCCAGGGGCAAGGCAGCACAGCTGCTTAGCAGATGTGAAGTGAGTGGAGATGAAACATTGTCCCCAGTGGGGAACTGGCACAGTGGGACTTTTCCAGCCTGCTCCAGTGTCACCCTGATCCAAGGGCCCTCAGGCCCTGCCAGGCTAGGCTCCAGGTGTCAGATTCCAAAGTGATTAGCTATTTCTGTTCCCACACCCAGCTAACTCCTGGGGTCCATGCTTAGGAGTGCCAAATCAGGGCTGGTTCCAGCTTTCACTACCTTGAGGATTTTGAGCCATTATCCTTCATTTCTTCACTGATGACTAACTCCTTAAAAAAAAAAAAAAAGACTAAAAACATAGGAGCTTTCCCTGATATCTTTGTTAAAGAACAATTGAAGCTCCTTACTTGACCCCTACCCAGTAAGGGTGTCGGAGACTCAACAAGTCCAATTCCAAGATGTTTTTTTTTTTTTGATCCTAGCCTTCATAGATATATTCTCACTAAATATTTCTCACCCTTATGGAAAAACCCTTCTACACATGCATTACACTGTATTTTGATGTTTTTTATTCCTACCTCCCTACTGGGCCTTGAGCTTCTCGATGATAAGATTATGCCTTTTATGTTTATATGCCCAGCCCCTAGCAGATTATATGAGAGGGTAATGGTGTTAGTCTTCATTACAGTAGTAGTAGTAGTAGTAGTAGTAGTAGTAGTAGTAGTAGTAGTAGTAGTAGTAGTAGTAGTAGTAGTAGTAGTAGTAGTAGTAGTAGTAGTAGTAGTAGTAGTAGTAGTAGTAGTAGTAGTAGTAGTAGTAGTAGTAGTAGTAGTAGTAGTAGTAGTAGTAGTAGTAGTAGTAGTAGTAGTAGTAGTAGTAGTAGTAGTAGTAGTAGTAGTAGTAGTAGTAGTAGTAGTAGTAGTAGTAGTAGTAGTAGTAGTAGTAGTAGTAGTAGTAGTAGTAGTAGTAGTAGTAGTAGTAGTAGTAGTAGTAGTAGTAGTAGTAGTAGTAGTAGTAGTAGTAGTAGTAGTAGTAGTAGTAGTAGTAGTAGTAGTAGTAGTAGTAGTAGTAGTAGTAGTAGTAGTAGTAGTAGTAGTAGTAGTAGTAGTAGTAGTAGTAGTAGTAGTAGTAGTAGTAGTAGTAGTAGTAGTAGTAGTAGTAGTAGTAGTAGTAGTAGTAGTAGTAGTAGTAGTAGTAGTAGTAGTAGTAGTAGTAGTAGTAGTAGTAGTAGTAGTAGTAGTAGTAGTAGTAGTAGTAGTAGTAGTAGTAGTAGTAGTAGTAGTAGTAGTAGTAGTAGTAGTAGTAGTAGTAGTAGTAGTAGTAGTAGTAGTAGTAGTAGTAGTAGTAGTAGTAGTAGTAGTAGTAGTAGTAGTAGTAGTAGTAGTAGTAGTAGTAGTAGTAGTAGTAGTAGTAGTAGTAGTAGTAGTAGTAGTAGTAGTAGTAGTAGTAGTAGTAGTAGTAGTAGTAGTAGTAGTAGTAGTAGTAGTAGTAGTAGTAGTAGTAGTAGTAGTAGTAGTAGTAGTAGTAGTAGTAGTAGTAGTAGTAGTAGTAGTAGTAGTAGTAGTAGTAGTAGTAGTAGTAGTAGTAGTAGTAGTAGTAGTAGTAGTAGTAGTAGTAGTAGTAGTAGTAGTAGTAGTAGTAGTAGTAGTAGTAGTAGTAGTAGTAGTAGTAGTAGTAGTAGTAGTAGTAGTAGTAGTAGTAGTAGTAGTAGTAGTAGTAGTAGTAGTAGTAGTAGTAGTAGTAGTAGTAGTAGTAGTAGTAGTAGTAGTAGTAGTAGTAGTAGTAGTAGTAGTAGTAGTAGTAGTAGTAGTAGTAGTAGTAGTAGTAGTAGTAGTAGTAGTAGTAGTAGTAGTAGTAGTAGTAGTAGTAGTAGTAGTAGTAGTAGTAGTAGTAGTAGTAGTAGTAGTAGTAGTAGTAGTAGTAGTAGTAGTAGTAGTAGTAGTAGTAGTAGTAGTAGTAGTAGTAGTAGTAGTAGTAGTAGTAGTAGTAGTAGTAGTAGTAGTAGTAGTAGTAGTAGTAGTAGTAGTAGTAGTAGTAGTAGTAGTAGTAGTAGTAGTAGTAGTAGTAGTAGTAGTAGTAGTAGTAGTAGTAGTAGAGTGGTGGCAAGCAGAATGCTGATAGAAATGTGGGCAGTAAAGGCCAAACGGATGATGAGGTCTCAGGTAGAAATGAGGAACTTATTGGGAATTGGACAAAAGATAACCCTTGCTACACCATAGCAAGGAACCTGGCTGCATTGTGTCCATGCCCTTGAACTTTGTGGAAGTTGGAACTTAACAGTTGTGAACCAGAGCATTTGGCAGAAGAAATTTCTAAGCAGCAAAGCATTAAGGAAACTGCATGGTTGCTTTTAAGAGCCTACTCTGAGTTATGGCAGCAAAATCATGATGTAAAGCCAAAAATTAAAAGGGATGTAGAGAGTAAAGTTTTGGAATATTTGCAGCCTGGCCATGCGGTAAAGAAGCAGCGAGCGGGAGAACAATGCAAGGGTGAAGCAGATAGACTGGTTGCTAAAGTCATTATCTTGGCCTTGAGGCAGCCAGATGCTAAAAAAATGAGAGGAAAGCCCTGCAGGCATTTCAGAAGTCTGGAAGGGTGCCCCACCCATCACAGACCCTGAGGTCTAGAAGGACTGAGTTATCCTGGAAGACAGACCTGGGGCACAACTGCCCTCGGAATCCTGCTCCCTGCATCACAGCTGCTCCGGCTGGAGTGGCCCCAAGTGTGGTTTGTGCAGCAGCCCTCGACAGTAGAGGCCCGAAACCTCAGTGGTGTCCACGTCGTGTTAAGTCTGCAGGCCGGCAGGACGTGAGAGCAGTGGAGGCATGGCATCCTCCACCCAGATTCCAGAAAATGTATGGAAAAGCCTGAGGACCCAGGCAGACCTGCCGCAGGGGTGGAGACACCACAGAGGACATCTACTAGAGCAATGCTGAGCAGGAATGTGGGGTCAGAGCCCCCACAGAGAGCCCCACCAGGGAAATGTCTAGTAGAGCCAAGGCAGCGGGGCTGCTGCCAGGACCCCAGAACTGCAGGGCCTCTGGCAATGTGCAACACAAGCCTGGAAAAGCTGCAGGCACCAGCGCAGCTCACTGGGCTGTGCCTGGCAGAGCTGTGGAAGTGAATCTGCCTGAAACTTTGGGGGCCCAGATGCCCAGTTATGCCCAGGATGCAGGACTTGGAGTCAAAGAAGATTATTTTGGAGCTTTAAGACATAATGTCTGCCCTGCTGTGTTTTGGACTTGTTTGGGGCCTGTTTTTCCTTTCTTCTGGCCTATTCCTCCTTTTTGGAATGGGAATGTATACCCAA